TCACTCACTCACTCACTCACTCGTTAACTCTCTGATTCTCTGGCTCTCACTCTGCTTTTGATGAAGCAGGCCACGAACTTTCACACACATACACACACACACACACACACGCACGCACGACTTCCTCATTTTATTCATTTTATGCGTTCAACCACGGAAATTCACCGAGAGACGGTGAAGTGGTATAAAGAGAGACTCAAAGTACGACGCGCTTAATTGAAAGAAAGAAATGTCGCTCTAGTTTTATCGAGTGACTCGAGGCTGTCTTGTATTTATTCGTTTTCTTTCTTTACACTCGGTTGGTATCGCCACGGGGACATGACGTTGGTACGAGCTCTGCTCGCGATCGCGTGTTCGATCTTTACGTCTCGATCCGATACCATCGGATCTGCGTCCATCATCGTTCGCGACGATCGTCCTTTCTCGTCTACCGCGAGCGACGTGGCTCGATCGTTCCTCTCGTTCCGTCGATCACTTCTGGTTCTTTCATTTTGCACTTGTAGATCATTCGAGCGTCGAACGAGGCGTGATCCACGGGAGAGCCTCAGCTTGTTAACGCATTGCGGACGACTGACGCTTCGTGTGTCGATGAAAGACCGACTTTTGTTTCTCGTCCTGTACGTTGATACGAAAAGAGGACATCCGATATCAACGAGAAGAGCTCAGAGAACGTCCAAATTCGCAATGCGTTGAAAGAATGAGTTACTCGAACTCGAATCAACTTCTAAATTCGTTCGACGAAGGATTCAGCACGCGGTAAAGTCGGGTTACTCAGAAAATTCTTAAGCTGAAGATCGAGTTCGAGCTAACGAACAAATTCAACGAGCTGAGATATCCACGAAATCGGAGAAATTACAGCGTATTACGCGTCGAACGTCGTTCATGGTAAACTTTGTACGGCTCTATCAGCTAACGAGATGATTTAAAAAATAAAGAACAACACTTCTAACGTAGTCGTGTCATACTGACAGTTGCACATGACAAACATTTGAGCGTGAGGCTTAAAAATTCGTTGGACCTCGTCGACGACCGAATAGAGACGTCTACTGGTCAACAGCAGGAATATGGACGAAGGGGAGGAGGAACATTAGGCACGGGGAAGAGGGCACGAACGTCGGCGTTTCATCACGTCCATTG